AGCCTTTTCTGCTTCCATCCCCGGAGAGTTCTCTCTCTCTTTCCTTCTCTTGCTCGACGTTCCCCCACGGTCACTACCTTTATCCCCTCCTTTATCCCCTTGTCCAGTCCCACCTTGGCTGACTTTCCGTTCGTCCCGGGGTTCCTCCTGCAGAGGACCTTCTTCGTTCCCAGTCATCATTTCCTCAATCAGTCTTGCCTTGTATTCCGCGGTCCTCTTGTCTATCTCGGCTAGTTTGCGCCTCGTGTCCGTGACCCTTACTTTCTTAGGCATGGCTCCTTTCAAGTTTCGAGGGCTTGTCCTATCCTTATTTCTGCCTTCCTTGGTCCCCTAGGTTCTTTGCCTGCTTCCCCCGTCTTTTCCCGAGCTTTCTCCTGTGGAGATTTCCTTCCGGTTCCCTTTGGTACCATCCCGATTTATCGATTCTCTGTCCTTCTGCCCCCCTTCGCTTTGCGCGGCACTGCCTTCTAAGCCTGGTTCTCCTTCACTCTTACGGTTATTTATCTCCTCCTCCGTTGCCATTTTGCCTAGTTCTGCATAAGCCAAAGAATTCCCAGGACACACGCAATGCGAGGTTTTTAGGTTCCCTAGGCTCCCAACTCTGTTGGCTTATCTTTATAGTCTCCTTTCCTATCCCCGTTTCCTGATTGCCCTTCCTTAAGGAGGAGCCACGACTGACCCTGCCGCCCAACCGAGCTATGAACGTGACTGGGCTTCCTTTATCACAAGCTAGTTTGTAGTGCCTTTGTCCTGTCGGACGACGCGAGGGAGTCCGGGTTAGGCATCCTGCTAGGAGAAGCCTTCCCGAGCAGCGTTTCCCGTTTTTTACCTTCAGGGTTATGGTCAGTCATTAGGAGTCTGCCCCCCCCCCTTCTTTGTTTTTCTAGTGGGTTTTAGCCATCCAGGTCCGAGGCCCCTTTCTTATTCCCATCGGTGAACTTCCATACGCAGCGAACTATACTTGATCTGCCCTATTGACCCGCCTGCGAATGCTAATCCCGCTCTCGCCCTCGCGGCTCTTCTGGCTCTCGAATTGTTGAGCCACCCCCGTTAGATAATTCTCCCCTATCTCGATTTCCCTTTGGATTATGCGTTCGCACCCTGTCCAGTCTAGCTCGGGCGCACAAAACATTAGGATGTGGATGACTTCTAGTAATTCGTGGGCCCTGTTTCCCCAGAACGGCCCATGCTCCACAACGATATCGTAGAACATCCCAATGGTAGGGGAGGGAAAGTGGCCTGCCCAGACTATCGCTGAGTCTGCCAGCTCCCGCGCCCTTGCGAGGCTTCCGAAGACGAGGTCTATCATAAAACGGGGCACTCGGCATCTCAGCGGTGTGGTCGGTACCCTGAACTCCCTCCAACCTCCCATCTCCACCCGGGTTAGCAAGCCCACGTTCCTTCTTCCCCTGACCGAATGTCCTATCCGGATCAACGTGGCGGCCCTTTGAAAGACCGGTGCCAACTCGTGACCTTGTGCTATCTCTACCCCCAACGAATGCCATTCGATCTCAGGCAGATACATGGTGCATGTAACCTCTAGATTGGAGAACAGATCGTCTCCAGGTCCTCGGTTGAGTCTCATCCCTGTCCACCGACATTCTACCAACATGAAGGCGGCGTCCGTTCCCAAAGTCACGGCCCGCCATTCTACGTCGAACCCCCGATAGGTAGAACTCGACGGGAGGGATACTTCCCATCGTCCACCATTGTTCCAAGGCGGTCCGGGGTATCGGGGTTGGCGTTCCATTCGCACACGGGGAAGACGTTCCACTCGCTCACGTCTTGCTGCCATTGTTACCTTGGTGATTCCCTGCATAATCCACATAGAAAGGGTTACAACCAATCTTTAGAATCCGCCCACCTACTGTCTCCCTTGCCCTTCGTGTTTTCATTTCTCTTTTCTAGTCCCAACTATCCCTCTATACCCCCGGGAGCGGTAGCCTCCTCTTGCTGTTCGTACAACCGGTAGAGATCATCTATGAAGGTCGCGCCCCGACCTACCTCTCGCCGGATGACTCTCCACATGGTCTCATCGCTCTCATCGCTTATTTGTGGGAATCCTGGCCTAGTATTTACCGTAACTCTTAGAATGCAAAGCACCTTGCGCCCTTGTTCGTCCCCGAAAGGCCCCATCTCTAGGAAGGTCCGATAGTATTCTCGATACCTTAATGCTTCGTCAAAATTTAGCCTAGTTACGGCAGTCACCGCCTGCTCCACGCGTTCTATGCCTCCCATTCGTCTTAGCAGGAAGGGTGGTAGACTCATTCGTACGACCTCATTTGTCAGCTCAAAAACCTCTGCCGCGACGACTTTTACCTTAGTCGTCATATCATCTCGTTCCGGATCTGCAAACTCAAACCCCTCCCGCCAGGTCGCTTGCCATGCCCCTTCGAACATTCGCACGAGGTCATCCCCGGAAACCAAAGCAATCCCAAAGGTCCGCCATCCCTCTTCCGACAGGTGTAAGGATCTTGTCGCATGTACACGCCCTGAGCGGTTCAAGTCTACGCCCCCAAACTCCCCTCTCGCCCGCCATTCCAGCTTCACTACTAGGTACACCGTATCTTCCACCAACTCTACCCCCACCCAGTCCATTACCGGATTGCCTACCGTATTTCTTGCCGGCAGGCTTATTTCGACCCTGCCCTCTGATATTCTTGGTGGCAGGATCCCGCGAGGTCTATCCACCCAAAACGTCATTCGCCGGGCCATCTCGCAATGTCTCCTTTCCTGCTTTCTTAGTCCGATCGCTGCACCCGCCGAGATTCCATGCCTTTCGTGTTTAAGTCTTTCAACCCTCCCTACTTATCGTACAATGGTTCTTGTCGCTATCCCCAACTCATACACGTTCAATTCTACCCCCCTCCCATTTTCCAGTTGTTGTCACTTCCCCCTTGTTTCGATCCTTATGCACCCTCTACGGCCTAATGTACACACTCCCTTTCTTATGTTGCACCTCACTTCACAAACACCCTCCATACTCAGGCCTTTTCGCGGTGTTCGATCCCTTGGCCTCATTCAGTCGAACCACAGTACCTCAAATAGTTTAAAGACGTCGTCTACGTAGGAGGGTGCGGCCACCGCCTCCCGGCTAACTATGGCGTCCCAAGACTCCGCCTCTACCTCTAGGCGGTCATACCTGCCTATTCTTAGGACGATGATGACTTCCTCGGCTTTATCTCCGTTGAAGGGTCCATATTTCAATGAGAGTCTATAGAACTCCTCAGTCAGCCAGACACACTCTATATGCACTTTTCTCATGGAGTCGGCTACTTCTAAAATGTGCTCAAACCCCCCAAACCACTCGACTATGAATTCCGGTACCCAAGCCATTATCCGTAGACTTGGAGGCTTGAGTTCCTTTCATCCCCCCATCACAACTCTGCTACTAACTTCGTCCCATCCCTCGTTGACGAACAACTTGCCTTCCTTTCGGGTTCGGGCCTCTGCATCCCCTAGAAGCCACATCGGGTCCTGTCCCATTGCTAACATGGTGCAAAACAGGTGCCATCCATCCTCGGAAAGGACAATCGTTCCAACTAACTCTACCTTGCCTTCTACTATATCATCCCAACCTTCCTTTTCCCTTATCGTGTTTCAAATCCGCTCTATCCATACATATGACAAGTCCCGGGTAACCTCAAACCCAATCCAGTCGCACGTGGTCCCTCTCCATCCGTTCCCTGTTGGTATAGGCATTTCTATTCCTCCTCTGAGTCGCCGTGGTTCCCAACTTTTGAAGGTGTATTCCATTATCCTTTCTTCTCTAGTCATCTTTCCCTTTCCTGCACAATACCAGGCCACCCGCCCTTCCTAAGTTAAGTTTCCCCACCCCTCTCAGAAGTCCCAGTTCTCTATCTCTTCATCTTCGTCTTCATCACTCAAGTCGTCCTCCTCGTCGTATACCAACTCCCTTACCCCATCTAGAAACGTCTCCCCTATTGCCACATTCCTGTAGACTATCCCCCAATGCACAGCGCTAGGGACAAAGATATTGTTTATGCTAAGGCAATTTAGTATCTCAGCCAACTCCTCCGCCCAGTTCCCCTCGAACGGCCCCATCTCTACTGATAACCAAAAAAAAATTTGCCTAGCACATTGGTATAGCCCGAGGTTCGTCATGGACTGGCATATCCGTACTAGCCTGCTCCGGGTTCCGAAAAACGCATCCACTAGGAAGGAGGGCAGCACACATCGCATGGTTCTTACGGGTCGCCTCATGCTTCCCCTATCCCCAAGTTTCACCCGTACGTCTACCTTTTCCATTTTCATTTCCCTGCGTTGACATGCAGCCCACACAACCTCTGCTTCTGCCTTCCTAAACAACTCGTCCGGCGTATTCCCGAGTGCCAACTCTATGATCATAGCTTTCTCCCCGTCTTGCGACAAGTAGACCCACCCCCGGGCTTCCACTGTCCCTCGGAATTCCAAATCCATTAAACTTGGTGATAACCTCGTCAAGCTGACATTAGTCCATATTGTTTCTATCCAAAGGAAAACATCCTCTCCTTCCAGCATTACCGTTTGATACGCTGGTTCAAGGTCCGTCCACGTTCCGTTTTCCGGCAAGAAGACCGATACCCCATCCTTTACATCTACTGGCATTTCCGGGCCACTAGTATAGATCGGGGAAGGCAACCATCGCGCCATCTTGTTTTCAGCACCCGGCCCCTGTTTTCATAAAAAGGCACCAACCGATCTTTTTGGTCGAGTCAACCCTTGTCCTAGATGATAATTATTTCAGACCCCTCATCAAGGTCTCCCTATTTTACTTCCCCTTTGCTAAGTACCCCCTTCCTATAATCCCCTCGGTCGGCCATCCATTTGCCCACATTCTTTCTCTTAGTTCCATTCCGATTGACCTTTATCCTCCTTCCTTCCGATCGTCTCTCACTCGTGTGGACTTAGAAGGGAGGGGGAATAGACTTAGAAGAGTGCCCGTCCAACAATCCAAGCTCAATCAATCTTTACGGGGGGGGGGGAAACACATATAAAAAAAATCAAGCAATCTCACATACGGGCCGGTCATCTCCTCACCGGTCATCCCCAATATGGTCTCTCCACTGGTACTATCGATAGAGTTTTATCCCATACCTCAAGCGCAGCTCAACCGTCGCGAGCGCGGTACCCAGGTCTCGGCAATGCATTCGCCCTTTCCTTCTTACCCAGAATACCTCATCCCGTCTTGCCGCTTTGCACATCCATACCGACACCGAGGGTTACCTCGAGTGCCTAAATACAGGGACAAAGTCAGTCGTCCGGGCATTCACTTCCATCGATCCGACAAGAATCAGCCTTTCCCAAAACCATGCTACGAGAGGCTACTAATCGCCTCCGAGGCTCCGTCTTTGTCCGCATGCAGTGGTACTCCCTCCGCCAGCCAACAGGCTAAGCCCCGCCTGAGGAGATTTCACACCCCGTCCAGCAGATCATCGAGCCGAAGCCCGTCACCGCTCAAACAAGAATGCTACTAATTAACCGACGTGACAAACTCACGTCCGACAGATCGGTGGCCTGACCTCCACATACGAACACACGACAACCTACAAAAAAGAACGACGTTTCGCAACCCGCACTGGCCGGTGCAGACCAATCCTTTCCTTCCGAAAGGCAGGACGCTCGAACCCCATCATGCAAACACAAGTCCCAAGTGGGACACACATAGTACAAGTGTCATTCCCTTGGTGCACCCAGCGCTTCCTACCCATAACTCACATATTTTCTCTCAGGACAATGAGTGTCACTCCCCCTACTTTCATACATAGTGGTTGGTTCCTTTTCGTGAGAATCTTCAAGGGTGAGCTAGTTTTCCTTGGAGTCTAGCAACTCCCTTCATTTCCCTTCTCTTCACTTGTATGTCCTTTCATAGTGTAGGATTGTTCTTACTTGATGACCCGTTGTGTTCATATTGGTTCCTTCAATCATTAAAAAGGTGCAAAGTGCATGAGCCCGCTGGGCTCAAAGAAGAAGGGGAAAACACCCATTCGGTCGGATCACTCCACCATGGGATTTTCATTGGAACCTGGCCTAAGCCAAGCACCAACCGCCTGCCAGGTAACCGGAGCCCTTCTTTCATACGAAGAGGAAGGGTCGACCTGCGACTTGCCCAAGGCTTCTCCGGACTGGCGAACACCAGCACCGGACGAAGGAGGGCTAGAGCCATTCCTCAAAGGAACGGCTGATCAAGTGTATAGCATGCATGTTATACCCCCAGGCCTGGCCATGCCATGCGCCCAGCCACCCTCAAATCTGATTTCTCACAAGGGAAAGGGCAAACACAAGTTCATTTTCCTTATCTTGGGTTGTGTACACGTCAATGCGTCGGGCGCCCCCGTCGGAATCGCAAGGGTCAATTTAACCCTATGCCCGCCACCTCCACCATTTTTGTAGGGCCAAACCCCGGTAGACTTTCGAGTCTTAGTCGACCCCACTACGGGTCCCAGTTGGTTCGGCCCGCCCACGCTCATGCTCGGGGTGCGGGCTGTTCGTCCCGAGGTCACCCCCACCTAGTGTTTTGAGATGGATGGGGGTGGACCATCGCACGAGAAAACTTTGACATTGGGGATGTAGCTCAGTCCTCACGCCGGGTGGTAGTCTCGCTGGTCGTTCCACAATGCTGATTTTTTTTTGATTCTTTATTGTGTTCTCAATCAATTGCTCCTTCCAATACGCAGGCAGTCCAGGAGTTCTTTGAGCGTTTCTCTTCTCTTGTGCGTAGGCTAAGCGTCATCCTTAGGCCACACACCATTTCCCTAAGCATTTTGGCTATATGGCGTCATCGGTGTGCGGCGGGGCCGTCCTCCCCCTCGCCTCTACGCATCCATCGGATCTCACAATTTGCTTCCCACCTTATTGAAGTAGGCCCCTTAGTCTTTTCGGGGTCCTCATATGCATGCACACACAACATCACATTTTCCTTGGTATGATTGCACTCTCAATCACACTTCCAAGTCTCAAGTGCAAAAGTCATTTTCATGAGTTGGCTCTATGTCAAGGGTCCCATAGCCCCTTTGTCCCTCTTCCCTTTCCCTCTTGGTGCCCAGTTCCTCTCGCCCTTATCCCGCTCAAGGCATTTTTAACCATCACTCACCTGCACAATCCCACACAAGCAAGAAGATCCATACAATGTCCCCCGTTGGGGGTCAACACATAGCAGGCGGTTGGTGCTTGGCACATGCCTATCCTTTCCATGCCCTTTGATTGTGCTTTGTTCCCTTTTTGTTGTTCAATCAACCCATCCTCTTCTCATAGTCATGCAGTCGGGGAAATGGTTGAGTCAAACTGACCTCTCTCTCAACTTATGCTTCCTTCCGGATCCCGCCTTTCTCCCACTTTTTCAAACGCCCTTTCTTTTGCCTTCTTGGTGGCACAAGGGACCGGCTATCCTCCCCTTGTCCTCTTTCTCCACCAAGTGAGGTCTGATTTCGGTCACCGTCCGTACCCTGGCAATGTTTCCAAGTAAGGGGAGAAGGGTTAATCATATGCCAAGTGAGGGAATGAGAGAGAGAGAGAGAGAGAGAGAGAGAGAGAGAGAGAGAGAGAGA